TATTTTTCAAATAAATTGATTTTAGCAGCTAGGTGGCTATTAATTTGAACTGTACTCTGTGGCCTGGACATGGAAAACTACACTGCGCGCAACACCCGACATCATATAGTATTAAATTGTATACGGCATTTTTTCGAATTTGGCCATGGGAGAATGTGGTGATTGTTTCCTCTTCTTTTCAGAGTAAAAGCTTTTATTACTATTTTGACTAACTTTTTTATTCGAAAGTTTTGTCGAGCAGCTTAATTAATTCTCTAAAATAAGTAATGGAGTACTATTATTTTTTAGATTTAGTACTTCTTGTTTTTCATAAACTTTGACCAAACAAGTTAAACCTTGTCCATCACATTTCAAAAGAAATAAATAACAAAACAAAGGATGAACCTCTTACATGAAACATATATTAATAGTTCTAGAAATGGAGAGGAACATACTCTTCATTTGATTGAGTGACGGTGCGACGGTGTCGTTATTTGTGGTGCGAATATTGATATTTGATATATAGTAGACAAAGACAAATAACAAACATGACCAACCAGTAAGTCATCTTGCTTTAGGGGTAATGGGGCCTTTCTTGGTTTATTTATTATTTTATTCAGAATTTTGAATTGTTATATGATTATTCATCAATTACGATTCCTAAGATAATAGTAGTAAATATTATAAATATTATTATAATATTACTCAGAGTAACAATATAGAACAAGAAGAAGAAAAAAACAAGCTAAGAGATATAGAGAGAAAGAGAGGAACAAGAGATCTTATTTCTTCTTCAATTGTGTGTTTTCCTATCTATTACAAGGCCTTTATATAGACATGAAAAGTGAAGAAAAATATGTCATTGAATATGTCATTAAGCATAGAAAAATATGTCATTGAATATATCATTAAACATTTGAGAAGATCATGGAGAAAGAATAGACATCCACCATAATTTGATTTTTCTTATAACACTCCCCCTTGGATGTCGATAGATAATGTGCCTCGTTAAAACCTTATTAGAAAAAAATCATATGGGAAAAAAATTCAAGTGAAAGAAAAAGAATACACATGTTTCGAAATACGCCTTTTGGTTGCCTCATTAAAAACCTTGCAAGGAAAACCCAGTGGGACAAAACCTTGTAAGGGAAAAAGAGTACAACGCGTATTAACTCCCCCCTGATGAGAGCATCAATTCACATCCTTGGGCCTTCACATCCCAATCTTGTACACTAGTTTCTTGAAGGTTGACATCGGTAGAGATTTGGTGAACAAATCAGCCATATTATCACTTGAACGGATCTGTTGCACATTGATATCACCATTCTTTTGAAGATCTTGTGTGAAAAATAACTTTGGTGAAATGTGCTTTGTCCTATCCCCTTTTATGAATCCTCCCTTCAATTGGGCTATGCATGCTACATTATCTTCATACAAATTTGTAGGTAGTTTGTCACACTTCAAACCACATTTGTCTCGAATAAGATGTATTATAGACCTCAACCATACACATTCTTGACTTGCTTCATGAATAGCAATTATCTCAGCATGATTAGATGAAGTAGCCACGATTGATTGCTTATGGTTCTAGTTATAATCCCGAAACGATTCATGTATATATTTTACAGAAACGTGAAATCAAAGTAGGCGATAAAGTAGCTGGAAGACACGGAAATAAAGGTATCATTTCCAAATCGATCGCAAAGATATGGCAGTGCCTCCATATATAAACACATAGTCTGTTTGAGATCGAGCCTTGTGTGGGTCAGATAAATACCCAGCATCGGCATAACCAACAAGATCGGAATTGCAATCATTGCCATAAAATAATCCCATATCGGTAGTCCCTTTTAGATACCGTAATATGTGTTTGATTCCATTCCAATGTCTCCTTATAGGAGCAGAGCTATATCTTGCTAAGACATTAACTGAAAAAATTACGTCAGGCCTTGTAGTGTTAGCAAGATACATTAATGCACCAATTGCACTAAGATATGGTACTTCGGGACTAAGAAGCTCTTCATTCTTTTCTTGAGGTCGGAACGGGTCCTTATTCACATCAAGTGATCGAACAATCAGCGGAGTACTTAATGGATGTGCTTCATCCATGTAAAACCGTTTTAATACCTTTTCTATGTAGGCAGATTGATGAACAAAAGTCCCGTTTGCCAAATGTTCAATTTGCAAACCAAGACATAATTTTGTCTTTCCGAGATCTTTCATCTCGAATTCCTTCTTTAAATAATAAATTACCTTTTAGGGTTCTGTAGGAGTTCCAATAAGATTTATGTCATCAACATATACAGCAAGTACAACAAACTCCGATGTTATTTTCTTTATAAAAACACATGGACAAATGGTATCATTTATATAACATTCCTTTAATAAATACTCATTAAGGCGGCTATACCACATTCTTCATGATTGCTTTAGACCATATAAAGATCTTTGCAATTTGATTGAAAATATTTCCCGGGACTTCGAATTATGTGCGTCATGCATTTTAAATCCCTCGGAAATTTTCATGTATATCTCATTATCAAGCGAGCCGTGAAGGTAGGTTGTAACCACGTTCATTAAATGCATGTCAAGCTTTTCATGGACAGCAAAACTAATGAGATAACGAAACGTTATAGCATCCATAACAGGAGAATACGTCTCTTCATAATCGATACTAGGCTTTTGTGAAAATCCTTGTGCAACAAGGCGTGCCTTATATCTTTGTACCTCATTTTTATTATTCATTTTATGTTAAAAAAACTCATTTATAGCCAACAGGATTAACACCATTTGGTGTTTGGACGACAGGCCCAAAAACTTCATGTTTCGTAAGTGAAGTTAATTATGCCTGGATAGCATCTTTCCATTTTGGCCAATCATTTCTCTGTCTACATTCATCAACAGATTTTGGTTCAAGATCCTCATCTTGTTGCATTATTTCAACATCGACATTATAAGCAAAAGTATTATCGATAACAATATTATTTCGGTTCCATCTTTTTCTCGTTGAGACATAACTTATTGAGATCTCTCCATTCTCATCATTTTCAGGTACCTAAACCTACCTTGAGATTTTATCATTTGTTATGTCTATGTGCTCTTCTTGAGCCACTACCTCCGTATTATGATCACTTTGATCATTTGTTCATTTTCTTTTTTGAGGATTTTTATCCTTAGAACCGATTGGTCTACCACGTTTCAATCAATTAAACTCATTTGATTTAATTGATTGTCCTACCGGGATATCAACTCGAAATTGAGCATTAGCAGCTGGAATATGTGACTTAGTCACCCTTGGTAAGTCAATGAATGCATTTGGCAATTGATTTGCACTATTTTGCAAATGAATTATCTTTTGAACCTCTTGTTCACACTGATTTATTCGGGGATCTAAATGAGATAGTGATAATACATTCTAATCTATCTCCTTTATCAGCTGTTTATTTTCTCCCCCTGATGTTTGGTATATTGATTCATCAAAATTAAAATCAGAAAATTTTGCAGTAAATAAATCTCCAGTCATAGGCTCCAGATATTTTATAATAGAAGGAGATTCATACCCAACATATATCCCCCAACATTCTTTGGGGGGCCATCTTTGTGCGTTGTGGTGGAGCAATTGGAACATACACCGCACATCCAAAGATTCTAAGATGAGAAATATTTGGCTCCTGACCAAAAGCCAATTGCAACGGGGAGACTTTATGATAACTCGTGGGCCTTATCCGCACAAGTGTTGCTGCATGCAAAATAGCATGACCCCATACTGAAATGGGGAGTTTTGTTCTCATAAGCATTGGTCTAGAAATTAATTGGAGGTGTTTGATCAATAATTCTGCTAGACCATTTTGTGTATGAACATGAGCAATCGGATGCTCAATTGTTATCCCAGTTGATATACAATAATCAGTAAAGGCCTGAGATGTAAACTCACCAGCATTATCAAGACGAATTGTCTTAATTGTATAATCTGGAAATTGTGCTCTTAGCTTTATTATTTGAGCCAACAATCTCGCAAATGCCATATTGCGAGTTGATAATAAGCACACATGTGACTATCTTGTAGATGCATAAACCAAAACCATATAATATCTAAATGGTCCACATGGAGGGTGAATGGGCCCACATATATCACCTTGTATACGTTCCAGAAATGTAAGGGATTCCATCCTAACTTTAATAGTTGATGTTCTAATAATTAATTTGCATTGAGAATATGTAGCACAAGAGAATACCTTAAATTGAAGAATCTTTTGGTTCTTCATTGAATGTCCATGTGAATTCTCAATTATTTTACGCATCATATTAGAACCACGATAACCCAGCCGGTCATGCCAAATAATAAAATTATCTTGATTAGTAAATTTTTCATTTACTATGGCATGCGTTTCAATCCTGCTAATACTTGTGTAATATAAGCCGGAGAAAAGGGCAGGTAGCATTTCAAGCACATATTTCTTACCCGACTTTATTGTAGTAATATAAAGATATTCAATCTTTTCATTATTTGTAGTCTCAATGTGATATCCATTTTGGCGAATGTCTTTGAAACTTAGTAAGTTTCTTTGAGACTTACTATAATATAATGCTTCATTAATAACCAAATTTGTTCCTCCGGGTAGTAATAAATTTGCTCTTCCTGAGCCTTCAATTAATCTTGTACTGCCAGATATTGTATTAACATTAGCTTCTTTCATCACCAAATAAGAGAAATATCTTGTATCTCTTAAAATAGTATGTGTTGTAGCACTATCCAAAAGACATATATCATCTTTATTGATCTTGGATCTAACTGAAGACTCGAGAATTTCCATATTCTTCATAAATAAACAAAAAGTACTTCATAAGAAATACGAAAGACTATAAATAAAAGAAACATTAGAAATTACACGAGGAATAGAGAAACTAGCATATATGATGCTTTAGGAAAGTACACTTAAGAAGAACAAACTACAGAAAGACATAATATGAAAATAATAACTTTTCTTAAAACTTTATTCCTCACTAAGATAATCAATTCCTCAGTCAATATCATCAAAGAAGTCTTCAGCTTCTAAATGAGTAATACTTGCAAGGCCTCCAAAATCATCATCTTTATATGCAAGATTTGCCTCAGCATCATCATATTTGTTTGAGGGGCCTGCTTTATCATCATCATTTTGAAAAGTCAAGTGTGCTTCCACATTGTTATCTTTTCTTTTATTGGATGCTTGATAAAGTTTGACAAAATGGTCAGGTGTACGACAAACACGAGCCCAATGACCTTTCATACTACACCTGTGGCAAATATTAACTCTGCTTTTCAAAGGACTATTTTGAGGATCCTTATTATTTTCTTGTTTATTTCCGCCATGATGACGATAATTATTTCGTCCCCTTCCATGTCCTTGTCCACGTTCACGACTATGGCCACGGCCACGATCACGATAATGACTTTGTCTTCTTTCAGACTTTTGAGTAGCTGCTACCATATTCACTTCAAAAAATTGTGTAGATCCAGTGGGACGAGCTTCATGATTTTTCATTAAAAGGGTATTATGTTGCTCAACCACCAGGAGACATGAGATTAATTCAGAATATTTCTTTAAACCCTTTTCACGGTATTGTTGCTGCAATACCATATTTGATGCATGAAAAATAGAAAGAGTCTTTTCCAGTAAATCCTCATCATTCACAATTTTCCTACATAATTTAAGTTGGGGAAGTTATCCTGAATACAACAGAATTATATTTACTTACAGTTTTAAAATCTTGTAACCGTAAGTAAATCCATTCATATCGAGCTCTTGGCAATATCGTTGTCTTAAGATGGTCATATCGTTCCTTCAAACTGCTTCATAATTCAAATGGATCCTTTAGGGTTAAGTATTCAGTCTTTAACCCTTCATCGAGATGATGACGAAGGAAAATCATAGCATTTGCTTTATCCTGGCAACTGATGTTTCATTTCCTTGTATAATAGTATTTTCAAGAGCTTTTGCAGCAAGGTGAATTTCAGCATCAAGGACCCATGATAAATAATTCTTTCCGGAGATGTCAAGTGCCACAAATTCAAGTTTTGATAAATTCGACATAATGAAAACTATCATAAAAAAATAGATAAATAGAAGCAATTTGGGTAATTATGAAACAAGAAAAAATAATAATAAGTCATGTAATATGGTATTCATATTTATATAAACAGAATTTACCAATTTTTTTTTTAATCAATAAAATTAACCGAAATTTTTTGTGCCAAATTCTTAATTGAATTAAAAGAAAAATAAACAAAAATAGAGGTAAACGCTTAGCTGTAATTATGACAAAGTCTTGTTACGAAATGATTTAATATACGTATTCTATAATTTCTTATAATATCTTAATAATAATTTTATAATGATCTTACAATCTAAATTAACTAGATTAGCAATCAACCTTGAAAAAAAGAAAATTCTCCGAACGTAATAACAATGATATGACAATTTTAAAAGAAACATACCAAAAAGCAGAGTGGTGGTAGCTAGTGTGTGCCGGATCGGACTTGAGTAGAAGTTAATTCGTGCTGATAACGTATTATAAATATTATTATAATATTACTCAAAGTAACAATATAGAACAAGAAAAATAAATAAGCTAAGAGAGATAGAGAGAAATAGAGAAAGAGATATTCTTATTTTTTCTTCAATTATGTGTTTTTCTATCTATTACAAGGCCTTTATATAGACATGAAAAATGAAGAAAAATATGTCATTGAATATGTCATTAAGCATAGAAAAATATGTCATTAAATATATCATTAAGCATTTGAGAAGATTATGGAAGAAGAATAAATATCCACCATAATTTAATTTTTCTTATAACAGTAAACAATTACTTATTCTTTCTTTTAGTTAAATTTAAGAACGTATTTTTCGATAAAGTACTCGAAAAGACAAGAATAGGTGTTTGGTATGTTCTTAAAAAGAAATACAATAATAACATACTTAAAGTGTATCTACAACCGATAGGGCTTGCGTGGTACGTAACTAGTCAAGTGTTACAACATGCAATAGATTATACATGAAGAGCGATCAAATCATCAAACAAGTTGGTTGTGCGAACAAAGTCTCATATTGGTTGTTGAAAAGATTGAAAACCTACATATAAGGTGTATGAATCTCTTAATGTGTGAAATCTTTTGGGAAAAACCGTACGGGCTTGACAAAAAATGAATAATGCCACACCATGTTAAGAGTGTCTTTGGGTTAGTTTAGCCCAACAACTGGTATTATAGCTCAGGTTCGACATGACGAGTATAGCGATGGCTAAGTGATGGTGCGGGCCTCGGTATATTTTTAGGTGGACGAACAAAGTCTCACATTGATAGCTGAAAAGATTAGGAGCCTACATATAAGCAGTGGCGAAGCCATAAAATTCAATAAGGGTGTTCAAATTTTGAACAGCCTTTGCCAGTGGGTCATGCAAGGGTGTTCAAAGTCTATTTTTAATCAATAACAAGTAATATTTTACCTTATACGTAGTATAATTTTTCGGCGAATGATGGTTAGTTGACCACCCTTGGGCCAACATTGCTTTGCCCCTGCATATAAGGTATAGGAATATTCTTTTAATGATATAAGGACTTTTGGAAAAAACCGTGTGGACTTAGCCCAAAAGTAGACAATAGATTGGGAGTATACATATAAGCAGGGGCGAAGCTATGTTGGCCCAAGGGTGGTCAACTGACCACCCTTCGCCGAAAAATTATATTACGTATAAGGTAAAATATTACTTGTTATTGATTAAAAATAGAGTTTGAACACCCTTGCATAGCCCACTGACAAAGGGTGTTCAAAATTTGAACACCCTTATTGAATTTCTTGGCTTCGCCACTGCATATAAGGTATTGAGATCTCTTAATGGTATGAGGTCTTTTGGTGAAAATCATGTGAATTTAAACTAAAAGCGGACAATATTACACCATATTAAAAGTTATTTTTGGACAGGTTTAGCCCAACAAAGCATGACTTGCTTCTTTTTTTTCAACAATAGGCGTGACTTGCTGCTTAGTTAATGAAAAAATGTTTTGTTTAAAGCCCTTCTATCGATTAGGCAAGACAAAAAAACTCCAAAACATATTACGCATGAAAAAAAAAATAGAAATGTCTAGTGGCTTTATATTCTTACATGTCTCCCTTTATTTCATAAGTTTGAGCACGTCGTGCGTAACTTTTGATAAAGACTCAAAGATTTTGGTTAACAAGCTGAAAACAAAAAACAAATATTGCTTACCACAAACAAAAGGTGTGATTTTCATAAATAATTTGTTATTTTCCAAATATGTTAGTAAGGGTTTGGCAATCAACTACTAATATAAATTTGTCGTTTAGAAGCTCTTTTCAGGTGTTTGCACTAGTGTTGCTCTTTAAAGGACATAGCATTGTTAATTATCTATTTCTAATCATCATCAGGTGAAAGACAATAGTAAATGCTTTGTAGTCATCATGCTGTGATGATTTCGACGCTAATTTAATCATGTAATTAAATGAATCCATTTTTTCCTGAAAAAAATCATAATTAGAAGGATTGTTTGACTGCATGGATCATACTATATTATAAGTGTAAAACCAAAAAGTCAAAGATAAAAGACTAAAATAACCCTATAATTCTAATAGACTTTTATATTCTTTAATGGTGTTTACCCGAAAAATCGGATAACGTTAAATTTAGATATGGTTCTAAGGGTATGCAAATTCCTTTGATACAAAATGACAATACAGATATTTTTGCTATAAAATGGGAATGATGGACGGGAAGACTAAAATGAATTAGAAAAACAAGCACAATGAAATCTTAATGTATCTTGGAGGACTTGCGTCTATTGCAGTCTATCTCCATTTTTATAGTAGAGGGTCACTGCTTTATCTATAACAATATAATAAAATAATACATATAGTGGAGGACCCATGATGGTTTGTCTCTTCCTTGATTCTCGCCAAGATTCTCTCCCTCGG